ACTGAGGAAAATCGACAAAAATAGAATGAAACCTTGCCAAATCATCAAAACCAGTCCTCCCAACCCTAGGACAGTCCCAATTGGCTCCCAAGGTAGAGAGAGGAAGGAAAGAACAGCCAAAAACAAGCCCCAGCAGGGACTTCCAAAAAAATTAATCGGTTTTTTCAAAAATCAACAAAAATTGAAAAAACACTCAAAAACTCATCAAAAAATTAAAATAAAAATTTAAGGTGAAAACCCATCAAATTTCAACCATAAAGGAATTTTATTTTATTTTTTTTGGTTTTTTTTTTTCTATGTACAAGGAAGAACGAAAGAAACAAGAAACAAAAAACAAGAGAAGAATCTTCAAGGAGGAAGATGAAGCTCTGATACCATGTTAGATTTGCATAAAAGAAAGAAAGGAAGAAAGAGAGAGCACTGCTGCTGCTGCTATATATTATTTCACACCACTAAACATATTAGGGTTACACATACTTATAATAAAACACTAAAGGAACAAAAGACATAACTACCGTTATACACTAACACTTAACATCTACAAATGCAATACATATCAAACCAAGAAAAAAAAAAAAAAGAAACTAAGCTATAAGTAATTAGATAGTTGTGATTGTTTAATAATAACCAATCAAATCAAATTTGTAACACTTGGAGAAATGAAGCACAACAACAATTTTAATTTAGGCCAAGTTTGGGAAGACTAAATAAGTGCACTTTTTGACTTTTTATAAAATATGGGTTGGATTTGTGTTAGGTTTGAAGTGATGTGTTAGAGAGGTGATATGACTTAAATAAGATAATGTGACTTAAATAGGATAGTAACTTTTTGACTTTTTGAATTTTTTGGAGGATGCCAAACTTGGCCTTAATTTAGAAAGGATTTTATTACCTTAGCTCCAAAATAATAATCCTGACGTATTTTGCCACAATTCAACATTGAGTTCCCGGTTCTTGTAGCTGGCCAAAGGCCGTGAAGGGTGAAGTTTGGCGCCAAATTCGGAAAATAACCACTGTATTTCTTGCAAAAGGTCAGTATCCAAGCTTGGACAAGTAGGAACTGATTGTAAGTTCTTTGGCAAGTAACTAGGTTGGGCATCCAGAGCAAGCCCAAAAGAAACACTAGGTTGATCAACTGCACTTTTCCACACTACGTACCCAACACAACATTTTTGAGATTTCTTTTTGTAAAGCCATTCATATTTATAATGGTGGCGCAGTGGTGGGTATGGAAATTAATTCAAAGTGGTTGGGAGTGCTTCTTTCATGTATTAGTACAACTCGTATCAATGTCATGCCTCCAATATGAAGAATCGTCTATGATGAAAGTTATCCATAAAATGTGCGTGTGTGTGAGAGAGAGAATTGAAGTGTAGAAATTAGAAAGAATTATAGCACAGTGGCACACAGATAAAAAAAATTACAAAATCATGTGGGGTGCAAGTGATTCTGTAATGCGTGCAAGTTAAAAGTGTGACTTGCACCCCTCCATATTTGTGAAAAATAAATTTCTTGTCCAACTGGGATGTAATTCCCCCTAAAAATTATAATATTAAGGCATTTCGATAGACTTTGATAGTGACTATTCATAAAATTAACAAATCGATGCTATAGTTTGTTTATAAAAGATACATTTCCTAAGGAGAAGTGACAATTAGAATGTTTCAAAATTCCAATATTTCCAATATGCTCATGCAATTATATGCTAACAGTAAGGTGTGTAATTCTCATACTCATGGAAGTCACAACCTAGGCACTATTCACTTTAGGAAAAGAATTTATATCTATACTTATCGTCCACAAATTTAAACTTTCTATTTTTTATTTTTTATTTCCTTTGCCTTCTCTCTTTTCCATTTTCCTCTTCAAACCACATAAAGAAAGAATTATTAAATGCACTTTGAGATTAGTCCACACCAATCACCAATTGAAATCTCTCATATTGTCTTTCCAATTATTACACAAACAAAAGTTATATATCAATCACATTCGAGACTTTAAAATAGCAAGCAATGACCACCACTTCTCCACATGAAGAGGTAAGTTTGCAAACAGTGTGTTTTAAAGATCCTGACTGACACCATATTTCAAATGCAAAGAACATCTTCAACCGAAAGAGGGTAGCAGTAAGGCTTCATAAAGAATGTTGGAGATGACTTTATTCTCACAATTCAATGTGTTGGACCCCTCTACTCTACTGACCTCCTTCTAATTCTCTTTACGGTGATGACTTCATTGTCACAATTCAATTTGTTGGACCCCTCTACTCTACTGACCTCCTAATTCTGTAAAGACTAACCTTATATTCTTTCATTTCAAATTTCTTACTTGTCTAAATGAAACCAAAGTTAATGAGAAGCAGTTGGGGTGGTTTACAATATTAAATGCTATATATCATCAATAAAATTTGGCAATTCCATATTGATTGAAAATCAGGGTGGTTTTTTTTTTTTTTTTTTTGTATGTGGAAATGCTCAAGTTATTCTCCTATATATATATATATATATTGAATCCTCAAAAAAGTACAACAAACAGTGAGGGTTATTATACGGAGATGTGGACTAATGTCATTGATTTTTATTCTTTGAATGAATTAAGTTGGAATAGAAGTAATATTTTGTATGTCCTTAATTAAAACTAGACTTTATTTCTTGGTTTTGAATTTTCAGTGTAAAGTCAGATTACTTATGCAGTGTTTGAATTTTAAATTTGTGAACGATAAATATAGATATAAATTCTTTTCCTAAAATGAATAGTGCCTAGGTTGTGACCTCCATGAATATGAGAATTACATGCCTCACTATTAGCATATAACTACATGAACATATTGGAAATATGGGAATTTTTAAACTTTTTAATTGTCAGTTCTCCTCACGAAAGATATCTTTCATAAACAAACTACAGCATCAATTTGTTAATTTTACGAATAGTCACTATCAAAGTCTATCGAAATGCCTTAGTACTCTATAATTTCTAGGGGGAATTACATCTTGGTGGGATAGAAAAAATTTTATCACCCAAATATGGAGGGATGCAAGTCACACTTGAAAGAATTACTTGCACCCCACATGTTGCACCCATCATAGAATTACTTGCACCCCACATGTTTTTGTAATTTTTTTCTCTGTGCCCCAATATGCTATAATTCCTCTCTCTCTCTGACTCACATTTTATGGATAACTTTCATCATAGACGATTCTTCATATTGGAGGCAGGACAGTGATATGAGTTGTACTAATACATGAAAGAAGCACTCCCAACCACTTTGAATTAATTCCCGTACCCACCACCTGCGCCCCCATTATAAATATGAATGGATTTACAGAAAGAAATCTCAAAAATCTTATGTTGGGTACGTAGTGTGGAAAAATGAAATTGATTTCTTTTGGGCTTGCTCTGAACTTCCGACCCAGTTACTTGCCAAAGAACTTACAATCAATTCCAACTTGTCCAAGCTTGGATACCGACCTTTTGCAAGAAATACAGTGGTTGTTTTCCGAATTTGGCGCCAAACTTCACCCTTCACAGCCTTTGGCCAGCTACAAGAACCGGGAACTCAGTGGTGCGTTGTGGCACAAGGCGTCAAGATTATAATATTGGAACATCCAAATCAGAAGAAGAAAAGAAAGAAGAGAAGTAGACCCAGAGAAGAATAAACTAACAAAGAGGAGAAGAAAATATAGGAAAAGAAACTGCAGATATGCAGAAACCTCGAGGGGTTGGCCTAGTGGCATAACTTGGGTCCTGGGGGTGAGCTCCTTCCAGGTCTCAATTTCAGTACTCACTAGCTGCAACAAGCTCCTTGAGGCCAATCCATATAGGGCGTTCGCTCTGGCTTTAAATGGGGTCCCCACAAGTGGGCGGTAGGATTGGTCCACCGGGATTAGTCGAGGTGCACTTAAGCTGGCATGGATACCCGGTTATAAAAAAGTTCTAAAAAAAAAGGGGATAGAGATGCAGAGATGAGATCGAAAAATAGAGGGAAGGGAGAGAACCAGCCATCAGGGATTTTTTTCTCTTCAATCAAGTGTCCCTAAAATAATAAAAGGGTTTTGTTCATATAGGGAGTATACACCCTAATTCCACTAGCTTAGGTGTCATCACCAATCCAGAGAGTGATAGTCTAAAACACAATCCCATTAAATTTACTCCAACCCAAATATAATAAATAACTGAATAAAAGAAATGAAATCCTAAACTACCCCAAAACTTCATCGAAGTAAGAAATTACAATGATATTATCACATACTTTGTTAGCAACTAATGCAACACTAGAAATTACACCAACAATATCCAAATATACGGTCTATAGCATACCACTTTGAACCATGGCCCAAACACTTTCTTCTTTGTGTTTTAATGTTAAAGCGGGAATAATGCATTCTGACCAATGACCATATTATTCTCATTACGTCGCAAAGATATGCAATAATTACTCGGGAAAATATTCGACCCCCAGGAAGCCCAGTCAAGCATTGCAAGGATCACAGTAAAGGTGTATAAGGCGTAACACATCCAACCTTTAATGATCCAGAAGGCCATACTCTCTCAGAAGGAAAACCATATAGCATGTAAAAAGTAAAATAAACAATGCTTCGGATCATATATGATTTTACAGATATATATACAAAACAACTAACTTTTCTTATACAATCAAGCTCAAGATAATTATATGGATAGATATGTAAAACAAGCTTTTAGGTGATCATGCAGATATATATATATATATGAAACAGATAACTCCACAATACCTACTAGATCAACATATTATTAAGCTGAACTGGGGTTCAAATGTTGTCAAGGGGGTTTACTGTAATTCCCCCTTAAAAAAATAAAAGATAAAAATGCAACCACTAAAAGGAAGGAAAAAATTACAACATAAAAGACAAGGTATCATGCGAGAGAAAAAATAAAGGAAGATTCATTAGTTAAAATGTAAGGACTTCAGCTAGTACTTATCAGTGACCAATATAACTATACAACCTAATGGAAGCACTTACATGTCATCATCTGGCCACCAAACCTTAACCTTTTTACCAATTAGGTTACTGTCATACTCTATAGCATCAGATGCCTGAAATGAAACAATAGACAACTTATAAGAATCGGTTCAAAAAGTACAAATGATAACAGAAATTGATTCAAGAAGTACACAAAAGAGTTAAACACCATAAAAACAACTAGAGCAAGTAATACTGATATCACACAAACCCAACTGTCCACCAAAAATAAAACACAAACTCAAGCCCAACCAAGTTCAGCAATAGCTCAATTTGACCTCTCTTCTTAAGCTTAGAATAAGATTCAGTTTTACCATGCAAGGCTGAGCTTTGTCCTGTTCAATCAGTTCAAGTGTGTTAGGTGATCTTCCATCTCATGTCCATTGCCTCTTTCTCTCCCTCTATCCCCTTTATTGGTTCTCACAAAGATTTTAAAGGGCTAAGCACTACATATCCCCAAAAATGCTTTACTTTTCCTTCCCTAAATCAAAACTACGCATCAACTCCAACAAACAAAAACCTTACCTTTTCAAAGAAAGTAGAAAAATAAAGAACAGATAAAAAGAGACGGGCAAGAGCAAAGAGATGTTGATTTCATGGCCCAACATCATCTCTTCACAGAGTCATTACCAATTATCATGATGACAATGTAGTTATGCAAAAACACTGCAACAAAAAATTAAAAAATAAATAAATGAAAGGTGATGGGCTTCTGGTGTCACAACACTCTAACCCAGAAGTTTTGTACAAGAATGGAGGACAGGTTAAAATACTTTTAATGAAAATAATGCCATGGTTATTTAAAAATTACAAGGCATTAAAATAATTGTTGTTCTTTTCTTCCCCCATTGGGAGAGGGAGGTATAGGTGGTTTTACGAACAGCACGTTCCTACCCATTTAGAGTCAAGGCATAGAGGCACATCACCCATGACCAAAAAACACAAACACTTTCTAAACTGCTAAATAGGATCCGATCCAACTCCACCACACACAACAAACCACAGGCACCCACGCACCAACGAACTTACATGTGGGCAGCATATGAAAAAGAAAGGCCAAACACATCCCACATCAGGACCACAGTGATTAATTGCACAAACAAAAAGAATTTTCATTGCTAAAGTGTAAAGGCAAACGGAGTCCAAGTAATCAGCTCTTCAGTTTTTCTTTCTACATTTTTTTTTTTTTTTTAAAGTTATGTCACTCTTTTACAGACGAAAGGAAGAAGAGACCAAAGAACCACAAAGAGAATAGTGAAAATCTTGATGATGTTGCATTATTGCATATGAAATGACAAAACAGAATAAAATAAAATGCAATCTATGGGTGGGTGCACCACATGGTAGGCACTTTGCTAGAGCATGCATTAGATTTTATTATAATATAAACCAAAAATCAAAATATGCCGACTGATAGAAAATGAACCATGCCAATGGGGTTGAGAATACTTACTCTCTCTTTCCCAGGCGTACGCTTTCTCTTGGAATTCGTCTTGGTGGTTTCCTCTAAGTGGACTTCATCTTTATCTAATCTTAAGGCACCTTTTGGTGAAGAAACTGCTTCCTACAAAATGAATAAGAATATTTTTTTTAGATACTTGGTCAATGAAGACTCAGGCATAAATAGAACTGCACAATGCCAAAGCACGTCAAAAAGTACTTTGTCATCATCTTCCGTGGATGATTTCGTTAAATCCTTCACCAAAGTAGCTTTTCCATGTCCACGTCCTCGTCCTCACCCACGCCTTTTCCTATCTTCCTTCTTCTTTGATGAGGGCCCATCCACTATCTCATCTTTTGCATGTACCTTCCTAACACAATATTGTCCGTCAGAGCCAGTCTTCTCCTCAGTACTCCCAGCAGGAGCCTTTTTTCCAGAGTGTCTCTGGGTCTTTTCCAAATCACTTGTACCGGCAGATGTTTTGTTAGAAGCAACATTGGCAGATAGTGGAACTTCTTCAACCAAGTCTTTCTTCTTTGGTCGTCCAACCTTCATTGGACTACCCTCATCAGGAACACTCCCACTTGGAGATGGGGAAGCCACATTCACTGGCTCACTCTCTATTGCTTTTGGGGAGGAAAGCTGAACGTTCTCTTTGTCATTTTCTGACAGCACAGCCACCTCAACAGACAGCTCCTCAGAAGGTGAACTACGGACTTCCTTGCTACGACTTTTTCGACGGTCTGCCGTTCTTTCAGCCTCTTTGTCGCTATCAACTCGAGAGGAGTCAGAAGGTTCTGTTGGATTGATTAAAGAGTTAGGTTTCTGTCCTCTTTTCTTGGATGTTTGTTCAGGCTTAGACTCTGCTTTTACTATCTTCCCACTGTCTGAATCATCGGGTTCAGCACTGCTTGTTACGTTAGTATCCACTAACTGATCAGCTTGGCGAGCATGCTCTAGCTTCTTTAAAGACTCTGGATCTGCCAATCTGTCCTCATTCCCAGTTTCTGGAACACCATTCCTCATAACTGACTTTGGAGATCTGTCCACAGCAGGATGATCACCTTCAGGACAAGTCTCTGTCACACTTTCTTTTGTCATTTGATCCTAGATTGATGACTTCCAAGCGATTAGTTGCAAGATTAAGGTTTTTTTTTTAACAAAGTTGCAAGATAAGGTTGGTCCACAAAACTTTATAAATTAACTCACAACTAGCTATACAAATAAAAATACATAAAAATAATATAGACTATCAGGACATGCCTGGGCTGCCCCATCAGGAGATGCCACAGCCAACTTGTTCTCATCAGCCTGATGCAATTAGTACAATAAGTGGCGATATCATATGTGCAATTAGTACAAGAACTGGCAACATCACATGTAAAAGCAGAACAAATAACAACTAGAAGTTAAGATGGATAAAGCCTACAACTATAAATTACAGAAAACAGATATAAATTGATGACATACCTGAGCTGCCCCCTCTGAAGATGCACTATCCAACTTGCTCTCCTCAATCTGAAGAAAACATTACAGCACAATGAATACCAAATCATGATTACATCTATGCTCACATATAAAAAAATAAAAACTTTTTTTGCTGAGGCAATGACAATTTCAGTAAATAATATTAGCATCAAATGAAGACATTCACTATAGGTCGACAATATTATTTTAAAACGAGCACTATTTAAAATGAAAGAGATCTGAAATTCCTAGTGGATCTCCCTGAATTGGTTGCTGGACAGTGAAGAACAATATTAGCAATCACAGCATAACATATACTCCCCATGGTCGATGATAAAGCTTTATACAAGCAAGCCATTTGGAGGCTCTCCTCACCTCAACGCAAGCAAACATGGCAACTAGAAAGCAATGCAACAATTGCGCAAGAAAGTTGTGATGTTATAGGCAATGTTACACGAACTCTTCTAAATTTGTGAAGTAACCGTATCTGACACTCAACACTTAAAAGGTATCAGATATGTGTATGAGATGCTAAGTTGGACATGCACCCACCAAGCATGCCTAAGTATTCAAGTTTTGCCATACAACTATGCAGGAGACACCCATTTTATGCAAAAAATGCTCTACTATTAGTTTGTAAACTCCATTTTACCTTTAAAAAATAAAAGTTCGTTTTAAAAAAATACAAAATCTAGCCGTGTCGCAAACTCCTAGGTTCTATGAAGCACGAGTACTCTAAAAATAGTGCTGTGGGCACACATACCGATACGGCAATACACGTATCGGGTACGCCGAATACATGCCTGGTTTAGCAAATACATTTGGGTACGTTGTAGGTACAACACCAGTACGGCAAAATGTTTTTTTTTTTTTTTACAGCTGCTAGAATTTATTGTAACATTTATTATTCTTCTTTCAATTTTAAAAATATCAAGTAATTTATTTCCAACACTCTTTACCCATGAGTCATGGTTTTGCTCTCTTTTGCATCTTGTTTTAAACAATCAAAAAAAAAAGAATTATATAATTTTTTAGACAATTTGTTTTCTTTTTAGTTTCGATATTGAAACTTCTGCTTTGTATATTTGATGTTTAGCTATAAATTTTAAAAAATATATATTAAAAAAATTGACGTACCCCAACCATACCCGTACCCTACATTTTTTAGAATTTGACGTATCGGCATACCCATATCACACCGGCACCCGCACCCGCACCCGTGCTTCATAGCCTAGCATCCTTTGTCATAAGAATCAAACGAATCTGACACTAAATGTTTATTTTTTTTTTTTACAGCTGCTAGAATTTATTGTAACATTTATTATTCTTCTTTCAATTTTAAAAATATCAAGTAATTTATTTCCAACACTCTTTACCCATGAGTCATGGTTTTGCTCTCTTTTGCATCTTGTTTTAAACAATCAAAAAAAAAGAATTATATAATTTTTTAGACGATTTATTCTCTTTTTAGTTTCGATATTGAAACTTCTGCTTTGTATATTTGATGTTTAGCTATAAATTTAAAAAAAAATATATTAAAAAAATTGACGTACGCCAACCATACCCGTACCCTAACCCTACATTTTTTAGAATTTGACGTATCGGCATACCCGTATCACACCGGCACCTGCACCCGCACCCGTGCTTCATAGCCTAGCATCCTTTGTCATAAGAATCAAACGAATCTGACACTCCCACACACTCCCACACATACCAGCACCCAACAGCCCACCTCAGTCCATGGAACATAGGTTATAGATAAATGGTACCAGCGAGATTATAAACGAGAGATGGGCGTGTAGGTGCAGGTAATATAATTGCACAGGAGTTGCTACAACACTTCGGTTAAGCAGGATTGCTGTTGCTAGAGGCAGGGACAGGAATGCAGACAGGGCAGTAGTGGTGACAGCCGCGTAGTAGTAATGCATCATTAACCATGTAATATCAGAATTACATACAAAAATACAATCATAGAAACTGTGCTACCCATGTGCCAACGGTCTATTACTTTTGGGTATTAGAACAAGGATATTATTGGATAAGAAAGCATTGGCAATGGTAGCAGCATTAACAAGTTATTATCAAACTTAATTTCAAAAAATGGTGCAACTAAAGCTCTGCCATTATGCCCGTCAAAAGTTAACACTTGTATATACGGAGAAAGGCAGCTTATTTCAAACAATATTTACCTCCACCCTCTATATCTCTCGCAAATCTTAAATTTATGCATAAAAGAATACTATGTTGAAAATGTAAGTGAGCATACCAACTGTTCTCCACAAGCATCGTCATCATTATGTCTAACAGTACCGTCATTGTTATGTCCAATATCAGTTGTTCCATCACATATAGATGCAATTACTTTGCTGTAATCATCAAAAGAATGGCCCAAGGATTCCTTAGCTTGTATCAGGTAAGGTTTGACCTTTATTGCACAGTTTTCAAATACTCTCCCCCAATTTCCGAGCAATTGGCAGAACCTCCTGAAAATATAAAAACCTCAGACAAATTCATAAAAACAAAAACAAAACAAGGGAGATAAAAACACAGTAATCCATTGATCAATAATAATTGACCTGATTGTCCTTTTTCAAACTAGCTAGGATGGGAGAGATTAGTTCAAACGAAATATCTTCACTTTCTTCCAGTTCAAGAGACATAATTGTGACCATCGAAGAAAACACATTCTCTGGGTGATAATCCCTGAAAGTTGAACAAAAGCAATATCAGTTGCTGAAAAGAGAAACATGAACAATTTCATCATAGCAGGATTTTTTGTAGGTGATTTAAGTTAGGGAAGTAACCTTGTTAGCTAATCAATTAAGTTGCTTATTGGATATTTATATCTAAAGAAAAAGAATAAAGCTTTGGACCCCCAGTGGGGGTACTGGGGGTCACCTCCCATTGGTCCAAAAAAAAAACAGTTTTTTTTTTTTTTTGAGTTTTCAGCCAACCCCAGGCCGACACGTGGCACTGGGGGTCACTGGGGGTCATCCCCAGTGGGGGTCTGTAGCATTGCTGAAAGAAAAATATGTGAATGAAAAACAACACTCAATTAAAATCAAATCAATAAAGAATAAACCTATCAAAAAGTATCGAACCTGCAATAGTGAATAGGAGGCAGTTACTTCAAAAATGGGGAATCCAAATTTTACAACTTTGCAACAATTTTGGTACCAACTCAAGCAGAATAAACTCACACTACAGCCTAAATTTTTTTGTACAACATATGTTCAAACAAAAGTCACCCCTAGCTGGGTAGACCTCCACCATCTGTTGATATACATAAATATACACGTCCTACAGCTTATAAAGTATGACCCATAACCAAAAACCATGAGTGCAAAATAAAATGTGAGCCAAGGACCAAGGAGAAGCAAAAGAAAACACAACAATCTGATTTGGCTTTACTGTTTTAAATTTTGTAGCTTAATAACATATTATATTAGAATTAATATGAAAATTCAATTTCACAAGATAAAGTGGATATCACAAGACAGAAAAGTGTTAATATAGCCTGGTTTTTTCAGGCATGGCATAAGAAAAAGAACATGTTCATCATCTTAAATATTAGCTCATACCTTATAGCTTTCAGAAAGTGGTGGAACATCTTAACAATCAAACCATCACATTCCAGATCCAACATGACCACACATGACCTGACCTTGGTTACAGTTTCAAGAATCAAGGTCCTCTTATTATATGATCTACTGGACTTGTCAGATAAATTTTCAAAGGATGATACAATCAACTGAAAAACATCCTGTGTATAAAAACAGTGAAAACTTATGAGGATAAAACAAATGATGATAAAATTTCTCTATAAAAATAACAGAAACCCAGTACCTTCATCTGATCATCATCATATGGAGCATCTGGTGCAGTAATTCTTGTAATCTCACTGATGCAGGAGGCAACTGCAACTTTCACATCTACATCAGGATGCCTTAGAAGTTTATCTGCAACCAATGCCTTCATAAATGGAGAAAGTGCAGTTTGCATTGATTTCAATGGTGACTGCTCCACTCTTGAGAGAAAATTCTCAATTTGCTGAAAATCACAACAAAAGAAGATTATACGAAGAATTTACAAGCAAATCAAAGAAGCGAAAAAAAAAAAAATTAAATAAATAAAAAAAATTCTCTTATTTTCTTTTCTCACAATTTAGCAAGTTTGTAGGTATTCTTTTCTTTTACCCCAAAAAAAAAAGTTTGTTTTCTACATTTTTACATCTAATTTAGTATAAAAAATCATAGCAGGCTTTCAACTTCCTTTCAACCTCCTTAACCAATTTACATTTCTTAAAAGCTATCTCAATTTTATCTTTTTGCCATTTTTAAAACATTCTTTTTTTTCAAAAAAAATAATAATATATTTTTACTGCAAACTGTATCACATAATTCCACCACCAAATATCTTTACATATAGGGTCTTTTCTCTTTGATTCTCTTAGGACTTCTCTTGTTATGGTTTTAATGTATCCCATCATTGTATTCCACATGTTATTAAATTAATATCACCATCCAAACGCCAAATATTTCTACTTTCTCACCTTTTAGATTCCAATATCTTTACATGAACTTTTAATAATTTTTATGGTTTAATGTTGCATTTTAATGTATATATCTAGTACTGCCAGCCTATGTTGCAACATTAAAGTCTACAAGAATCTTTACATATTGCTCATTTTACAAAAAATAATATGTTTGACTCTTGTTGACCCATTTTTAAAAGCTATTTAAGTATTCCTCTCTCTTTTTAAAGAAGGTGATAGTTAAATAAGATCAAATGCGACTACGAAAGATATGATGCCCTCTTAGATTACATTACACTACAAATTCAAAATATGGCATATGTTGCAAGGTTTAAATCAAGAAGCGAGCATTGCAGTTACAAAATGCAAGTGTAACCTTTATTGCAAAATATCCTAAACCTACAATAGTTATGATGTTAGGATAATGCCAAAAGTCATGGTGTCAGGATAATACCAAAAGTTCTAAAACGTATCGAGAGTACAAATTCAAAATTCCAGCTAAAGAAACAAAAAGTGTTGCAAAGTTTAAACCAAGAAGAGTGTATTGCATTTACAGAATGTGAATGTCACCTCTACCCTGCACTCATGTTCATTATCATGTTAGAAAGGATTTACAACACAACCTCTTTGATAGAAGGTTTGCCAGGAAGCTTCTACTTGTCGAAGTTTTGTTTCCCCCACATCAATAGACTTGCAAGTTGCAACTATAGTATAGGAAAAAGCTTCTATTTGACAGCAGTAATAAGAAGGAAAGGATATGATTGTAAATAGAGACTTAAATAAATGTTTCCCTCTCTATATAGTAGTACATCATGGTATTATCCTAGTACAAGATGGCCACTTAATATTGCCCACTCATGCAGATTCACATGGTTGCCTAGGAAAGTGCCCAGGTAAGCACCAATGCAACAAGAAGGTACCCCTCAGATGGCATTCAAAGCCCGGGTTGCAAGCCAACATCTAAGCTACCTCATTGAAAGTTACGTAACGTAGCCATTTTACACTTCAATCACCTAGGATCACAAGTGCCCAGACAGCAGCAGCCCATTGTTACACACAACAAACTAATTGCAAATTCAAGTTCCACAAATACTATTTGTCCTAGGGCTATCAAAAAACCGACTAACCCGATGTACCAGACCAAACCGACTCGAAAAAACATCTCATGGTCATGGACTGTTTCAAGGGACAAAACAGTCACCTGCAGGAATGAAAGTTTCAAAGGATGATACAATCAACTGAAAAACATCCTGTGTATAAAAACAGTGAAAACTTATGAGGATAAAACAAATGATGATAAAATTTCTCTATAAAAATAACAGAAACCCAGTACCTTCATCTGATCATCATCATATGGAGCATCTGGTGCAGTAATTCTTGTAATCTCACTGATGCAGGAGGCAACTGCAACTTTCACATCTACATCAGGATGCCTTAGAAGTTTATCTGCAACCAATGCCTTCATAAATGGAGAAAGTGCAGGTTGCATTGATTTCAATGGTGACTGCTCCACTCTTGAGAGAAAATTCTCAATTTGCTGAAAATCACAACAAAAGAAGATTATACGAAGAATTTACAAGCAAATCAAACAAACGAAAAAAAAAAAAAATTTAAATAAATAAATAAAATTCTCTTATTTTCTTTTCTCACAATTTAGCAAGTTTGTAGGTATTCTTTTCTTTTACCCAAAAAAAAAAAGTTTGTTTTCTACATTTTTACATCTAATTTAGTACAAAAAATCATAGCAGGCTTTCAACTTCCTTTCAACCTCCTTAACCAATTTATATTTCTTAAAAGTTATCTCAATTTTATCTTTTTGCCATTTTTAAAACATTCTTTTTTTCAAAAAAAATAATAATTTATTTTTACTACAAACTGTATCACATAATTCCACCACCAAATATCTTCACATATAGGGTCTTTTCTCTTTGATTCTCTTAGGACTTCTTTTGTTATGGTTTTAATGTATCCCATCATTGTATTCCACATGTTATTAAATTAATATCACCATCCAAACGCCAAATATTTCTACTTTCTCACCTTTTAGATTCCAATATCTTTACATGAACTTTTAATAATTTTTATGGTTTAATGTTGCATTTTAATGTATATATCTAGTACTGCCAGCCTATGTTGCAATGTTAAAGTCTACAAGAATCTTTACATATTGCTCATTTTACAAAAAATAATATGTTTGACTCTTGTTGACCCATTTTTAAAAGCTATTTAAGTATTCCTCTCTCTTTTTAAAGAAGGTGATAGTTAAATAAGATCAAATGCGACTACGAAAGATATGATGCCCTCTTAGATTACATTACACTACAAATTCAAAATATGGCATATGTTGCAAGGTTTAAATCAAGAAGCGAGCATTGCAGTTACAAAATGCAAGTGTAACCTTTATTGCAAAATATCCTAAACCTACAATAGTTATGATGTTAGGATAATGCCAAAAGTCATGGTGTCAGGATAATACCAAAAGTTCTAAAACGTATCGAGAGTACAAATTCAAAATTCCAGCTAAAGAAACAAAAAGTGTTGCAAAGTTTAAACCAAGAAGAGTGTATTGCATTTACAGAATGTGAATGTCACCTCTACCCTGCACTCATGTTCATTATCATGTTAGAAAGGATTTACAACACAACCTCTTTGATAGAAGGTTTGCCAGGAAGCTTCTACTTGTCGAAGTTTTGTTTCCCCCACATCAATAGACTTGCAAGTTGCAACTATAGTATAGGAAAAAGCTTCTATTTGACAGCAGTAATAAGAAGGAAAGGATATGATTGTAAATAGAGACTTAAATAAATGTTTCCCTCTCTATATAGTAGTACATCATGGTATCATCCTAGTACAAGATGGCCTCTTAATATTGCCCACTCATGCAGATTCACATGGTTGCCTAGGAAAGTGCCCAGGTAAGCACCAATGCAACAAGAAGGTACCCCTCAGATGGCATTCAAAGCCCGGGTTGCAAGCCAACATCTAAGCTACCTCATTGAAAGTTACGTAACGTAGCCATTTTACACTTCAATCACCTAGGATCACAAGTGCCCAGACAGCAGCAGCCCATTGTTACACACAGCAAACTAATTGCAAATTCAAGCTCCACAAAAAATTTACTATTTGTCCTAGGACTATCAAAAAACCAACTAACCTGATGTACCAGACCAAACCGACTCGAAAAAACATCTCATGGTCATGGACTGTTTCAAGGGACAAAACAGTCACCTGCAGGAATGAAAGTCTGATTTTCTTCACTTTTCGGTCTAGTCTCGGTGTGATAGAATATTTCGCTAGTACACCCCGAACTGACAGAAATAATTAAATGTACAAAATTATATACATGTCATAAGTTCAATTCATTTGCAATACCAATTTGTCTTATGCCAACAGGAACTCAGTTTTATTGCAGACTTCTACTTATGACCTTATAAAATGATGAAACCGTGCATTTATAGAATACACTGATTTCACAAGATTCAAGGCAAGGAGTGAAACATGCAACAAATAAACACACTGCGTAAGTACAATAGATTAATAGAAAAACTAGTCAATCTACAAAATTTCCACATTGCATCCTATACACAGATAAAATTTTGATCTATGGTAGACCATCCTCCTGAAACCGGTTCGATGAACTAATTGGAAAAGAACAAGTGGTACAAATAAATAAAATAAAGAGCCCTAATTAAGGAATAAATTTTCCAAACAAGACCCAAATGCCATAAAAAAAAACATGCGATACAGCAGGGGGGGGGGGAGGAATCAAAACCCAGATAGAAGCATGAAGTGCTGAAAAATTATAGAAAACTAAAAACCCTAGAAATCAAGGGCAGAAAGCAGTTCAACAAATCAAAACCCATATAAACTAGGGCTTACGTCAAGCAGAGGAAGGAGTTCATCGACCGAAGACGGAGGTTGAAGGAGCCTATTCCCAGCTTCCTCCAGCTGCTCCTCGAACTCTCTCTCTCCGGACGCCATGCTCTTCTCTTCTCTTTCTCTCTCTAGATTCCCCCAAAATCCCTCGATTCGAACTCAATTTCACACCATTAAAACCCTAGAAAACCAGAAAAATAAAACCAAATCCCAACAATTATACAAACTAGAACACGAACGAATAGAAATGATCTCAGAGAAAGGGGTCATTCTCTTTGGGGAGTTTGTTTTAGCTTTTTGAGAGCCAACTTAACTTTGAAAAAGTTATTTTAAATCGTTTGTTTAAACTTATTTTAAATAACTTATTCTAACCGCTTATTTTAACTCAAAAAAATTGATTCTGAGAAGCTGTTTACCCGTTATTTCTGATTATCAACTTCTGTTGTGGACGTGTTAATTTATGGTTATACTCTTAAATTTTTTTATTTTTTATTTTTTTAAAAATAGAAAAAGACTCAAATGGACTATAGATTATTATTATTATTTTTTATGAAAAATTTAGACAAACAAAAAATAAAAATTAATTGAAAAAGTTATTTCACAATTTATTTAACAAACACTACTCAGCAACTTAAATCTATAATCCAACAGTTACACCAAACAGATTAATAACTTCTGATTAAAGTCATAATCTATAATCTATTAAGTTATAATCTATAAGTTGTTTTAACAGTTACACCAAACGGGGCCTTACACACCACTTTCCCTCGAGGCAAACTATGGGTCATTCTATTTACACACCGCTTTCCTTCTAAAGCCAAACCATTGATTTATTTATTTTTTATTACAATTTTAACCTTAATTGAAATAATTATAAAGAACAAGTTATGATATACTTCATTTGTGTATTTATCATAAAAGACAATAATCAATATAATATAAATTATCAATTTCAAATTTGTTTATTACGTATCTTCTCTGTCAAAAATCCTAAAACTAAAATCAAAAACTCTTCAACAAATAATCAAAAATATAGTATTATTTAATATTTTGATTGGATTCAATGAATGATGCATCTGGCAATTCTCATTCGGAACAATGGAGCAATTAAAAGTTTTTTTTTTTTTGTTGTTTCGTCTTCGTTTAAATAAAGAGCCCTAATTAAGGAATAAATTTTCCAAACAAGACCCAAATGCCATAAAAAAAAACATGCGATACAGCAGGGGGGGAAAAATCAAAACCCAGATAGAAGCATGAAGTGCTGAAAATTTATAGAAAACTAAAAACCCTAGAAATCAAGGGCAGAAAGCAGTTCAACGAAACAAAACCTAGGGCTTACGTCAAGCAGAGGAAGGAGTTCATCGACCGAAGACGGAGGTTGAAGGAGCCTATTCCCAGCTTCCTCCAGCTGCTCCTCGAACTCTCTCTCTCCGGACGCCATGCTCTTCTCTTCTCTTTCTCTCTCTAGATTCCCCCAAAATCCCTCGATTCGAACTCAAATTTCACACCATTAAAACCCTGGAAAACCAGAAAAATAAAACCAAATCCCAACAATTATACAAACTAGAACACGAACGAATAGAAATGATATCAGAGAAAGGGGTCATTCTCTTTACACACCACTTTCCCTCGAGGCAAACTATGGGTCATTCTATTTACACACCGCTTTCTTTCTGAAGCCAAACCATTAATTTATTTATTTATTATTACAATTTAACCTTAAGCGAAATAATTATAAAGAACATGTTATGATACACTTCATTTGTGTATTTATCCTAAAAAATAATAATCAATATAATATAAATCATCAATTTTAAATTTGTTCCTTACGTATTTTCTCTGTCAAAAATCCTAAAACTAAAATCAAAAACTCTTCAACAAATAATCAAAAATATAGTATTATTGAAGATTTTAATTGGATTCAATGAATGGTGCATCTGGCAATTCTCATTCGAAACAATGGAGCAATGAAAAGTTTTTTTTTTGTTGTTTTCGTCTTCGTTTTCGTTTATGAGTGGTAAATCGTTGTTCCGTTAACTAGAGGTGAATGATATATCATTGTTTGACAAACTACAATCGAACAAATTACATCTGTTCAACAGACTATAATCGAACAAGTGCAATTTGTTCGGATTACTACGGTCGAACTTTTTCATTTAATTCAACTCTGTACTGCCGAACAGTTATAAATTATTTTTATTTTTTTTTTAGAACTATGTTGAGCGACACCACCGACGACGTCTTGATGAGTATTTTCAGCAATGGTGTTCACCAGTGTGAATAGAGAATGGAAGGGAGATGAATATCGTGAGTATGGGGTGTGTGGCTGTGTGGGAGCAAAGATGGAACTTTGTGTGTATATTGTTGTGGGTGGGTGTGTGTGTGAGTAAGGATAAATATATAAATTTGTGGTGTGTGATGAGAAAAATATTTATTTTTACAAATTATTTTTTGTGTGTCTTTAGAAGTGGTTTGCCTTGAGAGAGAAAGTGGTGTGTAAATAGAGCCTCCCGCAAACTATTAATTAATTTATTTTTTATTACAATTTTAACCTTAAGTGAAATGACTATAGAGGACAAATTATGGAGCTTCTATTTGCACACACTTATTCTTCATAGGGCACGTCTTTCTCAATACACACACTTAAAAAATTAACCCTAATTTATTTTGCTCACTCCACACGCCTCTTATTCCACATCTACCCTCAAATGTAAATCATGCACGCACCCTCTCAAAGAACACACAAGACAGACCCGTCTCTCACACACACACACACACCTATCTCTCACAACTCAATTTTTTATAACTTTTCGCTCAATCTGCAAATTGCCCATTCCTTTCACCATTTCCCTTCCATCACAGCTTTTCTCTTTCGTTAGATCTGAGAAAACAACTCAATTTTTTACCATTCAAACTACCAGAGTCGAAAATATTGCAGCCATTCGGAAATCTACCATCGAACCAATTACTTTTGTTCGAATACCAACTACCGAATCAATAGGGCTTCGTCGAATACCAACCATCGAACCCATTTGGGTTTGCAAAATTAGGTTCATGCGATGTTGAAAGGGAATCGCAAAGGTCGAGGTTACAAAGTTAGGGTTTTTTTCGACAAATGAGAGTTCATGGAAGGTTTGTGATTGAGAAGTAACAGAAAGGGAAGGGGCTGGAAGTCGACGACAGAAAGGAAGGGCAGCTCCGGTAATGGAAGGTAGTGATAGAAGAAGATAAGGGTATTATTGTATTTTCATACTAGGATAAAATTGTAATAAAAATATTATTCATTAAGTGTGTGAATAAAGACGAAATAGTGTGTGCAGATATAAACTCCCGACAAATTATGATACACACCATTTGTGTATTTACCATAAAGGACAAGAATCAATATAATATAATTCATTATTTTCAAACTTGTTCCTTACGTATCTTTTCTGTTAATAATCCAAAAACTCTAAAACCAAAATCAAAAGCCCTTCAACAAATAATCAAAAATATAGTATTATTGAAGATTTTGATTGGATTAAATGAAGGATGCACCTGACAATTCTCATTCAGAACAATGGAGCAATGAAAATGTTATTTTTTGTTTTTGTTTTTGTTTTTGTTTTCGTGTATGAGTGATAAATCGTTGTTCGGTTAACCAAAAGTGAATAATATATCATTGTTCGACAGACTGCAATCGAACAACTTACATATGTTCAACAGACTACAATTGAACAAATTACATACGTTCAACAAACTACAATCGAACAACTTACATATGTTCAATAGACTATAATTGAACAAATTACATATGCTCGATAAACTACAATCGAACATATTCCATTTGTTCGACTATCTAAAACCCTAAAATCTAAGCGAAATGAGAACTCACCTGTTGCTTTACCTGAGCACCAACGATGTCTTCACCACTGCTTAACTCTGTGTTGAGCACCAACACAGTGTTCACCGGTTGAAATTGAGACTGAAGGAGAGAAGATGAAAAAAGGTGGGGTGAGTGGGGGTGTGTGAGTGAGTGAGGGTAAATGTGGGAGTTTGTGTGTATATTGTTGTGGATGGGTGTGTGAGTGAGGATAAATATGCAAATTTGTGGTGTGTGATGAGTAAAATATATATTTATCAAATTATTAAAGGTATGCTTTTAGAAGTGGTTTGCCTTGAGATAAATTTAAGTGCGTAAATAGAGGCACCCCAGAGAAAGTATTGTTTCGAGACAAAATGAATGAAAAAAAAAAAAAAAGTCAAAAAAATATAAATTTAAAAAAAAACTAAAAATGTTATAACTTATACTAAAAAATCAAATTTTGTTTTTCGCCTTATTTTTTGTATATCTTTTCGTGAAAACTAAAAAATAATTCTTACTAGTTTTTCTTACCTCATATTTTAGCTTAAAAAATCAAAAAGTTACTAAAATAGCATGTTTTCAGCCTAATGTAAATTATACTAACTTTACTTATTAATATATATTCTATTTGACAAATAATTTTTTTCCGTACATTTTTTACAATAAATTGAGATAATCACAAATCTAATACTAATTATGTGTTTCACGTTTTTCTTCTTAATTTTTCCAAAGGTATTCATTATGTTTGATTTCAATTTTCAAGTTTAATTTTCTGCGAATTGAGTTTTTTTAATTTTTCATATTTTTTTGTCTTTATTAAATACTTTTAAAAACTTAAACAATTTTTTTAAATTTTTTTAGATACACCTTACTTAGATTTATCCTAAAAATAAAATATTTTAAAAAATTAATAAGTATACAATAATACAAAAAAAAATACTAAATTCTTGTATTTTTTTTTTTTTTTAGTATTTGGTGAATTTTTTTAAGATTTGTTTTTCACAAATATTATACATTTTAAATATATTTATGTTAGGTATATTTTAAAACTTAAAAAATGCATAGAATATGAAGAAAAAAAAATGGTGAAAACAAAAAAAATATGGAAAACAAAAAATTTCAATTTTCTGAAAAGTAAATCCTGAAAATTCAAACCAAATAGGATGATTAGTTTTTTTTTAAATACTATTGCCTTCTTTTTTTCTTCTTTTTTTTGCGTGCATTATTTTATATTCAATACTAATTATTTGTCGTTTAAATTTTAAAATGATTCTATATATGAAATTATATTTCATTTTCTACATTATTTTATATAATCACAACTCACAAGAGGAAAAATCTGCATAACAATTGTACTCTCGAAGGATCTCTAAAGTTTAGATTTACTGGTTAAATTATTTTTTCAATTGTTGAACAGTAAATTCTTTTATGTTTTGA